TGTGTGTGTGTGTGTGTGTGTGTGTGTGTGTGTGTGTGAGAGTGTGTCTCATAGCAGGAATTCCAGTCTGTCCGCTGAAGAGGAACTGATCTTTGTTCTCATTCACCGTCTGAACAGATCGTGACGTGAGTGTGAAGCTTCATCTGAATGGATCAGAATGCATCACGTTTCATTCTGAGCTGCGCAACTCTATTTTATTTTTTGTTGTATTTTCATTTGAAAAGGTTGTCTCTTCCACCTCAGGCTGAAGTAACTTGGCCAAAACCACCATATGCATTCATGTACCACTATATGGGGGCAGTTGCCGAAAATATTCAGATTTGTGCCCATCAAATATTATTTTTTCAATGGCAATCCTTTGTGGAAAAGAGCATACCTTTAAAAAGAGTATGTATTACAGAAATAATCTACTTTAAAAGAACATATTTAAGTGTGAACTGAATGTAATATTTTTAGGCACTTAACTGCATGTTAATTTCAATTAAATTAAAATGCATTAGAATGGCGTTTCTACTGAAACTTGTATGCCATGTATTTAAATTAGGGCTGTCGATTTAATCCCTTTATCTAATTAATCAGTTAAAGGGGTCATGAACTGAGACATCAAAATTCCCTTGATCTTTTGACATGTAAGAGGTCATTGTACTATAAAAAACATCCGTAAGTGTCAGAACTCAAAATTTTCTCATTAGTCTAAAAACAGCTTATATTGAAACCAATCTGCCAAAAGTGGAATGTGTGACTTTATGACATAATAAAGCGGATAAACCCCGCCTCCGTAGAAGAAGATCAACGCCTGCTTCTACATTATTCAGCACTGCCTGTTTAGCCCCGCCCACCGATTGTTCAGCACTGCCTGTTTAGCCCCGCCTACAGATTCTACATCGCTGCGCGTTTAGACCCGCCCACATATTCTACATCACTGCCCGTTTAGCCCCGCCCACCGATTGTACACCGCTGCCTGTTTAGCCCCACCCACATATTCTCCACCGCTGCCTGTTTAGCCCCGCCCACCCTAAAATTCAAGGTGTGTGTGAGTGTGTGTGTGTGTGAGTGTGTGAGTGTGTGTGTCTGTGTGTGAGTGAGTGTGTGTGTGTATGTGTTCAGATGTGTTTGTTTAACAACAGTCCAGTGTGTTCATGAGTAACAGCAGCATGAGCCAATCAGAGCGCCCGATCTTATCTGTGCTAATGTGTCATCGCTGACCTTTGACCTCATTGGCAGTGAGACGCCAGACGAGCTTCAGCTTCAGATACTCGAGCCTGAGGCCGAAGACGAGACACGGACAGAAAACATGCAGAGAGAAAAGCTTTACAAACACCATCCGTTCTGATTTCAATAAAGGCTCTTTTTCATTGTTCAGATGTTTTCTGGTTGTGTGGAAACATGCGTTTAAGTGTGTTTTCATGCATTTCTTCAAAAGTCTGTGCTATTAACCCGTCCATCCATCCGTTCACAGCTGAACTAAAGCTGCGCGGCGAGATTCTTGACTAGAAGACGACGTTTACAGTAATACCGTTATTGAAGCACATGCGGAAACAAAGACAGGTTTCGTAAATCAAGCTTCTGAGCTCTGAACACATTCAGGTTTCTCAGGACAAATAAATAACAGCGAGAGGAAATTCTCAGACAGTCATTAGATCAGAAATCTGGTGGAACTGGTTTGTGAGTGAAGACCGACAGATGACAACATGCCTGTGGATTCATCTCCGTTAGGGGTTTGTTGCTGTTGCTGAGCTGATTTAGAAAGTGGCTCGTTTCTGCAGACGGTTGTGAAACACACTCACTCGTGACGATCAGAAGAGCTGCACGATGGACAAACACCTTCATGTTTCATTAAAACTTCATCATACTTACACAAATGTCATAGAAACAAAGCAAAGAGTATAAAACAGAGAGTTCCGGTGCTTGATTCTGATTGGCTGAGCCACGTTTGAAGCTGTTGTAAATTACTCTACAAAGTAACATACACCTTTGTTTACGTTTGTGTGTTGCTCAGCAACCACTTTGTTGCAACCACAACTGTTTCTGAGGAACTACATTGTTTGGTGGAAGAATACTGTTTTTATTAATATCATTACACTTTATTTGCTCTGTTTTATTTCGTGAAACCTTACTAACTAACCGCGAAGCCGTGGTTTACAGTGAATTTATAACAGCTAATGGGGTTTTAGGCACTCCGCTTCGTGTTAGCTGTTATAAATTCACTGTAAACCACGGCTGCTTGGGGATTATTGCTTTATTCCAGTGGTTCCCAAACTTTTTGCAGTGTGCACCCCTTTCTAGTGTTTGACACATGTCAAGCACCCCCACCACCGTACTCCGGTTAAACACCACATTTTTTACTGCAATACAAGTATAAATACAAGTATTCACTGTATACAGGGCTTGACATTAACTCTTTTGCTCACCAGCCGCTGTGGCTAGTGGTTTTCCAAAATTACTAGCCACTCAGCATTTTCACTGGCCACAATTTTGTTGCTGGAAAATTACATTTTTACTTTTAAATTTGAAAGTAACCCGCCAGCAGGTGGCAGCAAGTGGACTGTCTTAATGAGTGAGTCATTGAGGCATTCTAACGATTCGTTCAAGAATTCGTCTTTATGAATGGACCACTGAATCATTGACTCAAATTATTAATTCAAAAATGCGAATCATTCGTCTCAACTGCCGCGACCTTGTTACTATTGATTATCCATTATGAATTGCCGTTTAAACCAAGTGTAATAAAATCACAATCATTCTCGTCGAAATTTTGGTGCTTCCCTAATTCGATGTTTTAATAAGATTAGGTTAGCTGTCCGGTCGGGCAAGTAAAATTCTCTTTCACTTGCCCCTTCAAAAAAAGCACAGATTAATTACTGGCTAACAAAGGTTATTCGTCCAATTCAATGCATATTGTACTCATTATTGTTTTTTTGTTAAATAAACAAAATCACTGGTAAATAAAAAACACCTTAGTATCGATAATTTTTGTTTGAGTATCGATACTTTCGATACTCGCATCAGTATCGATATATCGATACTTCGGATCGATACGCCCATCCCTAGTGTGCAGTTGTGTTCATTTGTTTCGATTTCTCCATGAGATTCTCACGTGAGTCTCAACTGCCGCGACCTTGTTACTATTGATTATCCATTATGAATTGCCGTTTACACCAAGTGTAATAAAATCTTTAAACCAAGTGTAATAAAATCACAATCATTCTCGTCGAAATTTTGGTGCTTCCCTAATTCGATGTTTTAATAAGATTAGGTTAGCTGTCCGGTCGGGCAAGTAAAATTCTCTTTCACTTGCCCCTTCAAAAAAAGCACAGATTATCAAAAGCATTCTCTCGCGCACCCCAGTTCGGGAACCGCTGCTTTATTCGATTTCGATACAAAGAAATGAACCTGCTTTGACCCTCGCCGTTGAGCTCAAGTGAATCCCGTGCCTCTGATCGTCTTTGAGACGTTTCTGCACTTTGACTGGAGGAAATCTGGCACATTCAACACAAACACAACGCCGTCTATCTGAGGACTGATAATACAGATCAGAGTAACAATCAAGCCATCAGTCCTGACGCGATGCCATGTTTCTGTTCTCTCATTACGTCTGTGAATTATACGTCTGGACTGAGTGAAGCTAACTCAGAGATCAGCAGCTCTGCCGAAGGAGTTCCTCTGAAGCGTGTGGTCAATGCAAACGCAGTTTCAGCTCAGATTTGTCCAGACCTGCCAGCGTCTTCAGTCTGTCGGCTGCTAAACAAACAGAACGCATGAGAGGAAATAAGCACTGTTAACAAAAGGGCAAAGACAAGACACGTCTTGACTGGCTGCAGTGCATTGTGGGTAATCTCTGATGAGAATGAGACATATAAAACCACATGAGCAATCAATCCGTGTCATTCAGAGCTTTTTTAACACCAGTGATGTTAAAGAACTCGTCTGCTGATCGTCTTAGATCACAGCGCCATCTGCTGACCGCAGCATCACTGCACACTAAGTACGCGAGAATATGATTAATGTGTCACACAGTACGCTATTACAGATTTATTACAGACCTTAGTCAGGTCAGACGCCATTTGACCATAAGAAAATATAATATTGGTAAATGTTTCATTTGTAGTTTTAGCTATGTAATGCATACTTTATAAGCCCTATTTTCACGTTGCATACTTCAAGTGATTTTCTTAATGAAGTACTGAATACTTGCAGCTCTTCTTCTTCAGGACAGTGGGTCAGTAGATGCTTTAGCAGGAGGCAGATTCTCTTTTGCCTTACATCAGTTGTCCAGATAAATCATTTTAATTAACTCTTACAAGAATCAAGACGCAACTTTATGACCCAATACTACGAAGCACCACGGAATTAAAAAAAAAAAAAAGTTATACGACTTCTTATCTCATAGTTCTGATCTTTTTTTTTGTCTTTTTTCTCGATTCTGAGCAAAAAGGTCTCATATGAGTAACAAAAAAATTTAAATAGACGTAAACTAAAAAGTCAGATTTGTTTTTGAATGTATCTATTTTTTTTTCTCCACCACAGAATAGAAACTAATAAAGGTAACTGCAACTTTATAAAAAAAAAAATTGAGATTAAAAAGTTGCAATGACCTTTTTTCTTTATTCTTCATATAAACGGGTTTCCATACAGTACAGTCTGACTACATACAGACAAACATCTGCTTCTTCATCACCAGTGAAGCACACAGTTTTAGTATAAACTAATAAAGGCACACAGTTTAAAGAGACACATCATACAAGAGGCTTCAAAACATACTGGCACGTCAAAGGTTTGTTAAACTTTATTACTGAAAATCCAGATGTTATGAACCGGTTTGACTCAAACAGGCCCGAAGAGTGAAACGCCTGACTACAAAAACACCTAGTCAATGCACATCGTCCTGTTAGACGCAGAGCAGTCGAGAAAAGCTGCAATGAAGCGCCCTGATACGTGACCAGAGCGAGCGTTCAAACACTGCGAAACATGACGTTACAGACAGTCAAACGAAAGCAGCACACAGCGAGACTCAGAGGAAGTCAAATCAAACCAAACGCAAAATAAAATATGCCTTAAAAGAAAAAAAAACAACGTGTGATTTCTAACTACATTTGTATTTTCAAGACAGTCTTCATGCCAGATCAGAGTTGTGGCTCCGCCCCCTCAGCGCTTCTTTGGGGGCGTGGCCGTTCTGGGCGGAGTCACGGGTCGCCCCGAGTTCATCCCGCCGTACTGATACTTCGCCTTCTTCTCCGACGGCTTCAGGATCTGAGAACACAGCGAAAGACGCGGCTTTAACGTCGCAAACATCAACACTTTCATGACTGTGAATAATTATGAATACATACAATTTACACTTTTTACATTCCAGTAATGAGAACGGTCTTAATTGTCAAGAAGATGCAAAATGCAAAAATCATAATCTGTTGATGCTGTGGTGGACAGGCTGCACTAGATCATGTGACTGCGGAGGTGAAGTCATGTGACCTGGAAGGAGCACATCAGGGTCTCGTCGACGCTCATCATTCCTCCAGCGTTGTCAAACTCGCCGCAATAATTCGGCGCCGAGAACAACGTGACCAGCTGGCGTTTGGCGAAGAACTCGTAACCGTCCTCGACCACCTGCAAAACAACACCAGACCGTCATAGACCACCAGAGACCTCCGTGTGCGGTCCGAACGCTGAACTGACACACGTGGAACTAAAACAGGCCAACACCTTCATGTTTCTGAACATAAACCTCATGAGCTCAAGCTAAACGCTGCAGGTCTGAAATCTGGAAACCCTGAAAGCATTTGATGAACTTGCATTTCTGTTTCCCTCCAGTAGGCGCAGTTCTCAGAGTAATGTGACACGCTCTACTTTTCGTGTCCTTAAATGCTCGTTTTTTGGGGGTCGACAGCTTATAAAAACATAGTTCTGGGTTGTTCAGCTTGTTTGCTGCACACCTTGTCACACAGCAGCTTTTAGACATTGCTCTGTTTTTTGTTACAAGTCAGAAATGACAAAGGAGGCAGCTTCCCGCAATTCAAAGTCAATGGAGAGCATTGGATTGTTTTCCCCCTGGTGGGCGTGGCCTAAATGTGCTCTGTCTCTATGTGACCGCAGTGTGTCGGTCATGTGACCGCAGTGTATCTCTCTGATGGAGAGCAGCAGGAACGGCTGATGAGTTTAGTCACCTGATGCGCACGGCAGATGAGATCCAGATCGTGCCGGTTGAGGAATTTGCTGACCACATCCGCACCGAAGGTGAAGGACACGCCACGATCGTTTTCACCCCAACCCTGAACGTCTTTATCAGGGTCCGACCACAGCAGATCACACAGCAGCCCTGAAACACACACACACACACACACATCAGGACTGATCTGAGCTCAGCACACTGCACTATTATGACTATCACTGTAGGTGTCCTTGAGTGTTTTGAAAGGCGCCTTTAAATAAAATGTATTATTATTATTTATTATTATTCAGTGTGTGTGTGTGTGTCTGTGAGTGTGAGTGTTTATGTGTGTGTGTGAGAGTGAGTGTTTATGTGTGTGTGAGAGTGAGTGTTTATGTGTGTGAGAGTGAGTGTTTATGTGTGTGTGAGTGAGTGTTTATGTGTGTGTGTGTGTGTGTGTGTGTGTGTGTGAGTGTGAGTGTTTTTGTGTGTGTGTGAGAGTGCGTGTTGTATAATGAAGTGTTTGTGTGTGTTTATGTGTGTGTGTGTGTGTGAGTTTACGTGCGTGTGTGTGTTTATGTGTGTGTGTGTGTGTCACCTGTGTCAGGTACGTCCGTCGGTCTCATGATGCGTCTGATCTGCTCCATCGACTGAAGATCGGGTGAAAGACCTTTGAAAGAGAAAACCCACCGGTTAAATTACAGACAGTCTAATCGATTATTTGCGCTAATGAAGGCGGCGCTGCTAAACCTGCCTCCGTGGCAGCAGAAGATCTTCTCGTCCACGATAGCGGCGATCGGCAGACAGTTGAAGCAGTCGGTGAACGTCTTCCACAGCTTGATATTAAACCTGCGCTTGCCTGCAGGAAAAACAACAAACCACAACAAACAAGATAAAAAAATATCACACAAAAACAAAACACAACCGAAGCGCTCCATCAGACAGGAGCAGGAGGAGCGCTCCGTGACTCACACTCGTCGTAGAAGCCGTAGATGCGGTTGATGGAGGCGCACTCGTGGTTCCCGCGGAGCAGGAAGAAGTTCTCGGGGTACTTGATCTTGTAAGCCAGCAGCAGGCAGATGGTCTCCAGCGACTGCTTCCCTCGGTCCACGTAATCTCCCAGGAACAGATAGTTGGCCTCCGGAGGGAAGCCGCCGTACTCGAAGAGCCGCAGCAGATCCGTGTACTGGCCGTGGATGTCACCTGTGGACGAGGAGCGGACACATGATTCACGATCTTCACAAACAGCTCTCGAACTGAAGGAAGGGTGTGACTCTGTCAGACTCACCGCAGATCTTGAGCGGAGCCTCCAGCTCCAGCAGGATGGGCTGACTGAGGAAGATCTCGCGTGATTTAATGCACAATCCCCGAACCTCCGCCTCCGTCATCTGAACGATCTTCCCTGGACGGCATCCTCGCACTGACGAAACATCGGACAGCAGCGTTAACATCCGCAGAAACCACATTTACTCAAACAGTCATCGGTTTCTTGTGCTGTTTGAGCTCCTTGTTACGAATATGGCAGAACCATCACTTCTACAACAAAAGACTGCTTCGTAAATAATCTTCCTGACTCAATTCCTCAGCACATCCAATAGCTCAGAAAAACTTGATGTTGTACCAGAAACTATAAACTCTCTCTTTTCTAGCACTGTTGCTCCTTTACACTTAAAGAAGATTTAGGAAAACAGAGAGTAGAGAGCAGGCCGGAGAATGGAGCGCAGCTGGAAGAAAACAAAACTAGAGGTATTTCATATTGCATGGAGAGAGTACTTCTACTTATAGAAACGCTCTAAAAACTGCTAGATCTGATTTATTTTTGTCTCTCTTAGAAGAGAACAAACACAACCCCAGGCATTTATTCAATACAGTGGCTAAATTAACGAAAAATAAAGCATCAACAGACGCAGCCATTTCCCAACAGCACAGCAGTAATGACTTTATGAACTACTTTACTTCCAAGATCGATACTATTAGAGATACAATTATAACCATGCAGCCGTCAGCCACAGTATCACATCAGATAGTGTGCTATAGATCCCCTGAGGAACAATTCCACTCATTCTCTACTATAGGAGAGGAAGAATTGTATAAACTTGTCAATTAATCTAAACCAACAACATGTATGACAGATTAAATACATAAATAAGTGTATTTCATAGGGCTTTCTATTAACCCGACAGGCTCTGTGATTGAGCTCATCCGTCTGCTGCTGACGTTACGTAAGACAGTAAAGTTCAGCCAGCGTGTTTGGTCTTAAGGAATCTGTGTGTGTGTGTGTGTGTGTGTGTGTGTGTGTGTGTGTGTGTGAGACAAGCCACATATCAACAAACCCTTAAACTATACAAATCACTGTTAATACAGAAGAAAACTGATCACATCAAAATAAAAATA